TCCAGATATTACAGGTTCCGACAAGTAAAGAATTTTTATAGTCCTGCCACAAATAAGCTATATATTGATTATTGACCATTTGTGACATGCTATAACGAGCAAAAATTTAAAAAAACTAATAGGTAGGTTTAAAATTAATAAATACAAATGTATTCTGGCAGTGAATGAGTTAATTATGCTTTCTATTTGCAAAACTCCTCAACCTTAACACAAAATAAGAAAAAAAGTGAATTTTTAAGAAATTTGCGGGATTTCCCGGGATAAGAAAAATTTCCCGGGATATTTCCCGGGTTAAAAAAACAACCGGGATCCCGGAATCCCGTTTCAGAAACCCTAATATATATATATAAACAATTTTAGTTCAGATAAACGTTGCAAAACGAAAAAGTCACAGTGAAGTTTATACTAAAATATAGATATATCTAATATTGTAAAACGTTACCTATAAGTGGTGATTTAGACCAATATCCATCGCGAATTTCTAAATAATTTTCGGAACAGTTTTCAGTTTCAGTTATATCATGATAATCTATGTAAAAATGAATAAATTCGCCTGGATATCTTTTAATGTACCATTGGCAATATCTCTCTTTTGCCAACTTAAGTCTTTGATCCTTAGTTGATATTGTTCTTGATTCATCTCTAATATTAAACAAGCATTCTGAAAGATATAAATGTATGTTGTAATTAGTATATTGAATATTAAACATAAGAGAATAATACATTTGGTTTTATTTTTCCGGAACTCCGTTGTATCATCTGTCGTTTCTTCTTTTGTGTAACAGTGTTCCATTACAACAACGCAAACGCCTTTTATTTCCCATCTTTATTTCGTTCCCATATACGCGTTTCAGAAGTTTCATCTCCCTCCTCAGTACGGTACCTGTTTGTATATACATATTAAACGATTTAAAGAAAGCATGTAAATCTAGAAAAATAATGATAATCTAAATATTAATAAAAGCATGGAAATAAAATCATACTGGAAAGCGATCTTGTAATCGAAACAAGCATATGCAACGGCGCTATCTAAAGAGATGTAGTATAAATAAAGGGCCAAACTGGTAAAGAGTGGAAAGGGAGTAATAGATCAAGCTAGGAAGATAGCTAGGAATATAATTTTAGTTAATTTTAATGGCCTTTAATACTTTTAATTAAACATAAAAGGGTAAAATGGTGACAATAGATAAGAAAAAATTTTAGGGCTTTCTACAGAAATTTAATTTAGAAACAAAAATTGTCTTTGGAAATATATTAAAAGTAAAAACCTTTTTGTAAACTAATAATATAAACCCCCTCAATAGTCGGAAAGAACACTCAACCTCACCGAATATTTTATAAAGTGTAGCGGTGACGTTTCTCCAATCACTAAAACGGTAGTACGAGTGACTCTTGAAAATTCGGGACCTTTAAAAATAATACCAAGTAAATGGATATTTTGAACTATAGAAATGTATAAGCAAGCACTAGATTAAATGTAAAAATTACCCTAAACTGATGTAAATGTAGATTAAGAAAATGTAAAATAAACGAGCGATTATTTACTGTGGTATCATCATAATGCCGGGCTGCAATTTTTAATCATATTTTTAATATATTTAATTTAAAATATATGCTTTCCACCTCAAATTAGTAGTGACTCGTCCATGTACTGTACAGTACATCATACTTTTCTTTTAACAATAGAGTCGTGCGGGTCATCTAATACCTTTCAGGAAAAACTTTTTGAATTGAAATAACATGAGTTCCGGTTTGTATCGGAAATTCATATAAGTTAATCGTGATGTTCTGCCCCTAAAGTTTTCATATCTGGTTTTGTCTTTCATCTATCTAGCTCCGTTCTCGAGATTAAGGAAGGACAGACAGACAAGAAGACGGACGACAGTGGGAATTTATAAGTCTACAATTTTTTGAAATTGCAGCCCAATATGCACACAAACCGATACCATACCAAGGAGGAGAGATGAAACTCCTGAAACGCGTATAAGAAAAGAAAAAATAAACATTGAAAATAAAAGGCATGCGTTATTATGGAACACTGTTCCATTCACAAAGAAGCGAATTTCTGCAAACTTATAGCAAATATATTATTAAAATATATGAATATAAATAGAAAAAATAAAATACTTGGACAATTGTAAAGTTTATTAGTTTGTGCAATGTCTATTTTGCTAAGATGCTTTCTTTCTTCTTCTAAAGATACAGATTGGTTGAGAGATATCATTGTTTCTTCTTTTGAAGAAACTGAAAAATAGCGAGATGAATAATGCATAATACTGTTATAATCATAAGGAAATCCTAGTGAATTAACCTCCTCTTTTGTTAATTTTTCATATTGTACGCGTTTACCTGAAAATAAAAGAAAACATTTCATATAATTTAATTTTTAATGATGATTTCCTATAAAATGATATCTGGCTTACTACTCTGGATGTTGCCATATAATATTTTAATATATTTATCACGATCTGGTCTGTTTTGCTCGTGATGAAATCCAATCACGTGTCCTAACTCATGTAAAATCATTGAATAATTACAGACATAGTTGATGATCAAGTTCTGTTTTCTTTGCGTTTTTCCAAAAAGAGAGCAACAACTTGGAAGTAATAAAATAAATAAATAAAATAAAGCTTCAATTTTCATATAAATTATTTAAATACTAACCCACACGAACCTCCTTTTTTCACAATAATTCTATATTCGTGTGAAGGCTCAGCTGGAATGAATTTGAGACACGTTTCAGCTTCCCATTCACGAAATGCTTCGTGTATTAATTTAAACTGAAAATCTTTCAAGCAAATAGTTAATTTATATATTTTAATCTAACAGTTTGTTTTCTTATAAGATTTAAATACTCACAAAGATATTCATAACCAATTTCAAATGGAATAACACCTTCATCCCATAACTTTCTTTTGATAGCAGTAGCTGCTCTCTTTCTTTTAAAATATTCATTATCGCTGAAATATAAGTGTGAAGTTATAAACATTTTTGAGAAATAAATAATAAACCTATTATAAGATATCTTACCCATTATTAAATTCTCTAATTATTTGTTTTTCTAAAAGAGAGAGAGACAACATATTTAAATATTAATAATTAAACAAAAGTAGCATATTAATACAAAATTAAAATATATTTTGACATTAAAAAATATCGTTATTAAAAATTTTTAATGTATCAATATTTATTGCTGTTAAGACTTACCTGAATTATACGCTTCATAGTTTGAATTATTTTCTAATGAATTATTAGTTAAACTAAATAGAATGAGAATAATACAAATTAAAGCACATAGAAATAAAATTAAAGAAATTATTATAAAAATATGCATGAAATTGAATCTGATTTTCATAATTAATCACAAACAAAATTAAATTCCACTTCAAAATTTTAAGTAATATAACTAAGAAGAATACTAATATAATGCATTTACTCTGTAATTATCAACACTCAATCAATGTTACAGGAAATAGTTAATCAAAATAGCCAATTAGCTTTTCCTTTTATTTCATTTCTTCACTAATGTAGATATGAACATTTTTAATTTAGTCAATTAAAAATTAAAGTTTTAGAGATGTACAAAACAATTTTTTCCATATTTATTTCATATATTCTATTGAAAGATTTGATATAACTCTCAAAGATATTTTATCTTAAAGCTCATAAAATATCTTTATTTAAGACGTAACTAAAAAGATGTTTTATAAATCTAACAGAAAAATTTATAATAAAAAGTATTCATTAAATGTTTTTCTATTAGGACCGGATGGCCGAAGCTGCTAAGCCGTGATTCTACGGTCTATGGCAGCCAGGAAATTTTTAGGGCGGTCTGTCCCGGATGCGTATTTATATTCCTTACTTTGCTACGACGTCTGGAGTATTTTCATTGGTACATTTTTACAAACTACGCCTTCCATAACGCCTCATCAACTTCAATCGACACAAATACGACTTCAATAAGACAGTATTGAAGTCGAATTTATATAAATAAACATATTTTGCTCATTTTAAATGTTTATAATTCTTTCATTTGCGTTTTTTCTGTAGATAGTAAAATAATTTATGATTTTAAATTAAAATTAATTATTGATATTTTCATTTATTTTTATTAATTAAACTTCTTTCATTTATCTTGACTGACAAGAAAGGCAACAGAACAACAATTTTAAACATGAAATATTTAAAATTAGAGTCAATTTTATGCGAAATAAAGTTTATTTTAGCAGTAAAGATGCATTACATTTTTCACTACCGAATTATTTATTATTGTATTTGTTTATTAATTTACTTATTAAGTAAATAAATTATTAAATACGTATTTCTATGCTCACAAGTGGATTTATTAACAGTTGTAAAAAACAATTATGTATTTTCAAAGCAACTTCAATTTGTTCAAAGACACACACATGCATACACTAAATAACTACAAATGACTTGGAAGTTGGATGTCTGAATGTTTTTCTAAATCTAAAACAAAACAGTTTCATAACTAAAATATACATTTATTTACTCGAGTATTTACAATAATGAAAATGCAAAGCAAAAAAAAAATTGCTGGGGTTTAAGAGAGTTGAGGATCTCCGTAATAGTTTTTCTAAGGTTTCAAAGAATATTCATGCCAAATTTGGTGCGGATACGTTGAACGATATAGAAACTTTCAGCTAATATACATACAAACATACATATTTCGACTTATATATGTTGCAGTCAAAACCCATTTTTAGTTAGAACGCGTTTTAACTAGTTAAAACTAGTTTATACTGGATGTCTTTGATAAAACCCGTTTTGTTTTGAGGTTCCAAAAACGGGTTGAAATTAAACATTTATTATTAGAAATTTATTAAAACGAAACTAGAAAAAATTGTCTATTGTTAAAGACCGATCAAAGATCGAATTAGTTGTGTTAGTCATATGAAACCGCGGCGAGAGAAAAAAAAAACGCTATTGATGTAAACGGAACGCAATAATTTTAAATGATAAATAATTGTAAACAAACGACCTCCAGTAGAGATGGACCTTTGAAGAGTCGCTCATATGCACATAATTAGAACATAGAAATTTTGAAAAGAGGAAAGATTAATGACGAAAAAGGACATCGCGTCGTGTCGTTACATTTCAGAAACGTCACAGACTAGACAACAATGGTGGAAAATATGAGCGCAAGTTTCAAAGTTCCATCAACATTTTGCATCCAGAATAACGGATGGTGTCGAGTAGATTCTTCAAGGCGGATCATTCTCATGACTCGAAAAGGAATCGTCTTTCGCTTACAGACAGACGAGGGAGCCAATCAGAATAAACAAATTAGAGAACGGAGATTGATATAATCCCCGATCAGAGAGACCGCTTCCGTAAACTGTGCTACGGAGTACCTGCACTCCGGAAAGTCTGAAGCGAAAAAACTCACTGTGTGTTGACGCACAGAAGACGAAGATTCCGCACTAGTAACCATCGAGAGAGCCGTGCCGCCGACGCCTACCGACAAGTCTCCTTACCTGCCGCAGCCCCGGGGCCCATCTCCGAGGGACGATAGAAAAACATCCTCGACACTTAAAACTTACGAACATTTAATTGGTTAAGGAACTTTGTGCATAGTGTAAGTTATTTCTTGTTAAATTAAACAGATTTTTGTCAGATACTTGTCATCTGTGTCTCCTCCGCTACACCCACACGCGAACGACCCTAGATCATCCTGAAGCGGATTAACGATTCCCCCTGGAAGTCGGCGAACTTACACTAATTAAAACTAGAATTTACTGCTAGTCAAAAATGAATTTGAGTTAAAACTAGTTTTAACTAGACAAAACTGGTTTTAACAAAGACATCCAATATAAACTAATTTCAACTTGTTAAAACGCGTTCTAACTAAAAACGGGTTTTGACTTCAACATATATATATATATATATGTATATATAAGTGCTTGACGGACAGATGTTGATTCATGTGTCGCCATCTAGTGAACAGAGAGTCAAAGAGACAGAAATCCGTTGAAGTTTAATTTATAACAGTGTTTTTCAACCTGTGGGTCGCGACCCCCAGGGGGTCGCAAAGCCTTACACGGTAGGTCGCGGGTGAAAGAAAAAGACAAATGTTTGTAGGTCCTACACTACAATAAAAAAAAAAGTAGAATTTCAGTGAGAAGGCTGTGACTTTATTTTACAGTACAATTGGTTTTTCGATCGATATTTAAAGAAAGAAAATTAAATACGTAGTTTTTAAAATCACTGATATAGTTTTAATACGGCTCTGGGAGGGTCGCCAGAATTTTTTAACTTGTAAAGGGGTCGCTTATTCAAGAAGGTTGAAAAACACTGATTTATATAATTAGATTTAGTGATAATATGTACTGTACAGTACGTTTAAGTCTTCTCATGAATCGAAAGATTCAAAATATGAAGTTTGGTTTAAATGTGTTCAGGCCGTTTTTCCGTTATGCGGCAACAAACATCCAAACAGATTGCGATATCTATTGCGTCTTTGTCCACTTTGGACTTTCTTGTGTTCTAGGTAAAACACCTTTAATGTAACATAATTCTGTTACAGTAATATAATCGATATCGTCACAGTTTTATTTATACAGATTTTGATTACAAAACTAAATTTTAATATACATTTATAACCTTATAACTATTTAAATTGGGTTTATATTATAGGCTATATATCAATTAAAAATACAATTTTTAGGAACAAAATAAATATTTTGTAGAAAAACTTATTTTATGTACACTGTACATTAAATTACTATTAAACCTATTAACATAGATTGAGTCAGACTATAGCCTATTTCAAATGCGAATGAATTTATAGGAAGGAGATAGGAGTTATCTTTAGTGCTGACAGCTTAGAACTAGGTTATTTGGCCTAAGTTATAAATAACATAAAACTATTATGCTAAGAAAACTCTAGATTACTATTTAAATGTTACCCATAATCAACTATGCCAGGGTCAGTAGGCTACGATTAAATATTGATATCAACAAGTTTATATTTATTATGATGGTGATAATTTCTGTTAAATAATTCTTGTCGACAACAGTGTATGAAAAACATCCCACTCTAAAAATTCTTGACGATAATGGCATCCGGATACTTAAATTTACTTTTATATTCCACTACAAAAATGACTCATGTCCATGTCATGTACTCAGTACAGTATCATTATCTCTAAATGTACTTTCGATGCAGATTGCGGTCGTTATACACGTCTCTGTAAAAGTCCTTTATTTTAAGATATTTGACATATTCCATTTTCTCTTAATATACTCAAAAACTTGGTATGATGTGACTATTTGTAAAACTTTTAGCGCAAAAAACTCGCTTCTCATTCTCTTTCGGTTATGCTTGTCCCAGAGCACGAAAATATAATAATTTAAAATTGGTTCCTTTTTCTCGAAACTATTTGCGTTCGAGGATATTTGATTATTATGTACAGGATTAATTGCGCACCGGGCTAAAAGAGTCAAATATGAAAAACAAAAAGCTATTCTATTCATACCATTCAATATCGCAGGAAACCAGATTATTTTTTCTGCCTGATAAGGTTTAAAGCAGGGGTGTCCAACGTTTTTGTTTCTTTGGGCCACATTGGAAGAAGTCGTGGAGTTTTGGGAAACAAGTATAATATATATACTTGTGGCCCAAGTATATTTTGGCCCAATCCTTAAATATACAAGTATATTTAAGAACTAACATGTCCAGATTATAGTAATAAGCATTAAAACTTTATTACGAATAAGGATATTTTAAAAAATTACTTCTACAGACACTTTCAATTTTTATTTAGAAATAAATAAATTCATTTATTATAAAGGAGATAAAAATTTATTTGAAAAACACAAATATTTGTTTCATTTGGATCTCTAATTAATAAAAAAAATGACAAAGCACCATTTTAAAGTGCATTTTTATTCAACTAATATATTTATAAATAATATGTAACCCAAAAAGTAGCCAATGCATCAAATGATATTTTTTACGCCAAACTAATAAAAAGGTAGCCAAATTTGGTGCAAAGTAGCCAAATCTTGCAAAGCTGGAAGGAGTACTAAATAAAGCTGGAGTTGGGACTCAAAGAATTATAGATCCAAAACAAGAAAGGGAGAGAAAGGACCCAAGATAAAAAAGTGAGGTAAGTTGAAAAATTAAGGGTCAATATTTGCATAACGAAAGGTATTATATATTTAACCTTTCTCATTATCATTTTATCTTTTGGCCTTTCTCTCCTTTCCCCGAATTTGAGTCTATACTCCTTTAAGTCACAACTTCAGCTTTATTTAATATACCTTCCTCATTCACTCATTTCCAAGTATTTGAAAATATTTCCTTTCCACTCA